AAAGACAGGCGGCTGCAGAAAGTGTATGCTGCTGTTCACCACAGCCTGAAAGGAAAGAGTTGAACTATCAGGGAAATGTGCTTGTTTTCTTTCATTGGAGCAACTTCTTCACCTCCTCCCTCCTTCACCTCCTCCTCCCTCCTCCCTCCTTCTCCTCCTCCTCCCTCCCTCACCTCCTCCTCCTCCTCCCTCCTTCTCCTCCTCCTCCCTCCGTCTTTGGCTCAGACACTGATGTTTGTCAGACTAACGCTGATAAGCAGCAGTGAGGACTCTGAAACTGTGTGTGTGTGTGTGTGTGTGTTTCCCTGATCAGACAGCAGGTGGCAGCAGAGGCATGTTTTCATGGTGAAGCTGCTGTTGAGGTGAATATTAATATATTAATATCTTTGTGATAACACATTGTAGAAATATGGTTTACATCTTGTTAAAAATCTGTGGACTCTCCACTTCCTGTTTCAAGTTCTTGTGAGATTGAACACGACTCAAACAGGAGCTGGAAGGCCTCGAAACAGGCCTCTATAATGTGGGACAGAACACTTTTCATTTTAGGCATTTACTCTACATTTATCTACTGTTTCACTCATATGTGATTTATGAAGACTTTGTTAAACACATTTCACTTCATCCACATCCTCAAGTTTGTTTTCACAAGAGATTTGGAGAATTTCAAAAACCAAATGATGTGTTTGACTGCAGAGTCACAGAGGAGCGTCATATAGAAAGAGCTGAGATCGTTCAATATAAACACTTCATGATATGTGAAACCTTTTAAAAGGTGAATTTAAGAAATAATGTGGAAATGGAGAAAATACTCTTAGACCTCAGAGGGTTGAATAAAGTAGAAAAATTAGAAGAATGGAAAGTATGATTATTAACTATTACTCAATAATAATAATATAATAATAAACTTTGCTTATATAGGACTTTTCTTAACAAAGTTGCAAAGTTCTTTACAGAAAGAAAAAGGAGGAATTAAAAACAAAAGAAGTAGTAGTTGTAGGCGGACCTTCCACCTTCTCCAGCTCCCCCTGCTGCAGACACAGACTCTGGTTGGAGGGATTTTGTCCTTTGTTTGAGCGGGACTGTGTTGGAATGAAAAATCACAAGTTTAATGCTCTATTATCATTTGTTGGCCTGAGACTGCATCATAGAGCGATACTCCCTTCATTACACAAACTGAGCAAACATCTTCATCTGTAGAATCAACATTTCAACAGATAATTAAGAGGCTGGATGACCATGTGTCTCATTAACATGTCATCAAATGAAATACAAACTCTTTATAACTTTTAACACATTTAAAAATATATCTTTTATCTAAATACAGTTTGGTGTGACTGGTATGTATTTTGTGTTCAGACTTCTGTCTTGATTTATTGTTGTTGTTATTATAGATATTTCTTCTTTTCTACTCTACATGTTTTTTGTGTGTTTGATGTTGTGTTGCTTTCTGTTTTCAATGACTGGTTGAAGAGAAGGGGAGGAGTCTGTATGAGCCCTCTGGGCTTCCTTCCTCTTCTGCACAATGTATATATCTTTTTACTGTGTAATGTCTGACTGTTACTTCTGTACAAATAAACTAAAACTTAAACCTGATCCTGATCATTTAGTGTCTGACGTCATCCCCCTGCAGTGAAGATACAGTCAGGTCCTGTTAGCTGTGAACCTTTCACAGCTGCTGTCTGTGATGAATGAATGAATGAATGATGATTGAATGAAAGAACAAACAGAGGATATTCATCTAAACGTTTCTCTCCAGCGTCAGCTGCAATAAACTGTGGAAACACAGGAGCTGCTTCATTTCCCTGAATCACAGATTCAATGACACTTTTTGTTTGTTTGTGTGAGTGTGTGTGTGTGTGTGTGTGTGTGTGTGTGTGTGTGTGTGTGTGTGTGTGTGTGTGTGTGTGTGTGTGTGTGTGTGTGTGTGTGTGTGTGTGTGTGTGTGTGTGTGTGTGTGTGTGTGTGGGGACAGAATCAAACAGCAGCTCTGTAATGTTTCATTTAAAATGCATGTATCTGCTGTTTGCTCATATGTCTCTTTCAGCCAGTTTGTCTTCTCTGCACTATCAGGGATTGACCTCTAGGGGTCTCTGTTTGCTTTGCCATAGCCTCCCCCTCATCCAGCCCACGGGGGTGGGGGGTGGGGTGGGGGTCTGTACAGTAGATGGATGACTCACCCCCTGAATGAGGAGGAATGAGGAGTTTCTCACTGTACAGCCTCTCGTTCCTCCTCACTGAGGTCAGACATGTTTGTTCCTCTGAGAGCTCTTCACCATATTTCTACTTCTTCTTCTTGGTGCTAAATTAAACAAATATCAATTTAATCAAGTGCCACTCGTTTGTTTGGCAAATGATGATTTTAATGAAGTAGATCCTTGTGGTGATGAGAGGATCGTCAGGTCTCCTGAGGTCTGTTTGGTGCATCCATACTTCTAGTGAGTGAGATTTTGAAGGAGAATAAATTGTTTGTTTAAAACAGATCACAAGCAAATACCTGTTTAAAACTCAACTGATGAAAAGTCATAAAAACGTCATAGTTTAGTAAGGCATAAAAAGCCATAAAACCGACATGGTATAGTAAGTTAAAAAAAGTCATAAAAAAGGTCATAGTATAGTAAGGAATAAAAAGTCAAAAAAACATCATAGTATAGTAAGGCATGAATAGTCAGAAAAATGTCATAGTATAGTAAGGTATAAAAAGTGATAAAAACATCATCGTATAGTAAGGCATAAAATGTGATAAAAACGTCATAGTTTAGTAAGGCATAAAATGTGATAAAAACGTCATAGTTTAGTAAGGCATAAAATGTGATAAAAACGTCATAGTTTAGTAAGGCATAAAATGTGATAAAAACGTCATAGTTTAGTAAGGCATAAAATGTGATAAAAACGTCATAGTTTAGTAAGGCATAAAATGTGATAAAAACGTCATAGTTTAGTAAGGCATAAAATGTGATAAAAACGTCATAGTTTAGTAAGGCATAAAATGTGATAAAAACGTCATAGTTTAGTAAGGCATAAAATGTGATAAAAACGTCATAGTTTAGTAAGGCATAAAATGTGATAAAAACGTCATAGTTTAGTAAGGCATAAAATGTGATAAAAACGTCATAGTTTAGTAAGGCATAAAATGTGATAAAAACGTCATAGTTTAGTAAGGCATAAAATGTGATAAAAACGTCATAGTTTAGTAAGGCATAAAATGTGATAAAAACGTCATAGTTTAGTAAGGCATAAAATGTGATAAAAACGTCATAGTTTAGTAAGGCATAAAATGTGATAAAAACGTCATAGTTTAGTAAGGCATAAAAAGTCATGAAAACGTCATAGTATAGTAAAGCATAATAAGTCATAAAAACAGCATAGTATAGTAAGGCATAAAACCAACATAGTATAGTAAGGTATAAAAAGGTATAAATATGTCATAGTATAGTAGGGCATAAAAACGTCATAGTATAGTAAAGCATAATAAGTCATAAAAACAGCATAGTATAGTAAGGCATAAAAAGTCATAAAAATGTCATGGTATAGTAAAGCATAAAAAGTCAGAAAAATGTCATAGTATTGTAAGGCATGAAAAGTCATAAAAACAACATAGTATATAGTATGGCATAAAAAATCTTGAAACCGACATAGTATAGTAAAGCATGAAAAGTCATAAAAACAACATAGTATAGTAAAGCATAAAAAGTCAGAAAAATGTCATAGTATAGTAAGGCATAAAAAGGCATAAAAACGTCATAGTATAGTAAGGCATAAAAAGTCAGAAAAATGTCATAGTATAGTAAGACATGAAAAGTCTTAAAACCGACATAGAAGAGTAAGGCATAAAAAGTGATAAAAACATCATCGTATAGTAAGGCATAAAAAGTTGGAAATATGTCATAGTATAAAAAGGCATAAAAACGTTATAGTAAGGCATAAAAGTCATAAAAAGGTCAGAGTAAAGTGAGGTATAAAAGGACCATAGTATAGTAAGGCATAAAAAATCTTAAAAGAGACATAGTATAGTAAGGCATAAAAAGTCATAGAAACGTCATAGTGTAGTAGGGCATAAAAACGTCATATTATAGTAAGGCGTAAAAAGTCATAAAAACGTCATAGTATAGTAAGGTATAAAAACAACATAATTAAGTAAGGTATAAAAGAACGATAGTATAGTAAGACATGAAAAGTCTTAAAACCAACATAGTAAAGTAAGGCATAAAAACGTCATAGTATAGTGAGGCATAAAAATGTCATAGTATAGTAAGGCATAAAAAGTCATAAAAACAACATAGTATATTAAGTCATAAAAATGACATAGTATATTAAGGCATAAAAAGTCATAAAACCGACATAGTATAGAAAAGCATAAAAAATCATAAAAGGTCATAGTATAGTAAGCCATAAAAAGTCTTGAAACCGACATAGTATTGTAAGGCATAAAATGTGATAAAAACGTCATAGTATAGTAAGGCATAAAACCAACATAGTATAGTAGGGCATAAAAACGTCATAGTATAGTAAAGCATGAAAAGTCATAAAAACAACATAGTATAGTAAGGCATAAAAAATCTTGAAACCAACATAGTATAGTAAGGTATAAAAAGTCATAAATATGTCATAGTATAGTAAGGCATAAAAAGGCATAAAAACGTCATAGTATAGTAAGGCATAAAAAGGCATAAAAACGTCATAGTATAGTAAGGCATAAAAAGTCAGAAAAATGTCATAGTATAGTAAGACATGAAAAGTCTTAAAACCGACATAGAAGAGTAAGGCATAAAAAGTGATAAAAACATCATCGTATAGTAAGGCATAAAAAGTTGGAAATATGTCATAGTATAAAAAGGCATAAAAACGTTATAGTAAGGCATAAAAGTCATAAAAAGGTCAGAGTAAAGTGAGGTATAAAAGGACCATAGTATAGTAAGGCATAAAAAATCTTAAAA